CGTCTTCTGCTTCGGAGATTTGGAATGTCTTTGGTTTGGCCGAGTATTACCGATGTCTCGTAGAGGGGTTCGCATCCATTGCTTCACCTATGACTAGATTGACTCAAAAGGGTGCTCTTTTTAGATGGTCTGAGGAGTGTGAGGCGTGCTTTCAAAATCTCAAGACATCCTTGACTATAGAACAGTGCTGGAGTTGCGTACGGGCTCGGGGTCTTACATTGTGTATTATGATACATCACGTGTTGGCCTTTGCGCGGTGTTGATGCAAGATGGTAGGGTGATAGCCTACGCGTCTCAGCAGTTGAAGGTCCATGAGAAGAATTATCCAGTCCACGACTTAGAATTGGCAGTTATTGTTCATGCATTGAAGATTTGGCGGCACTATTTATACGGTGTCCTATGTGAGGTCTATACCGATCACCGGAGTCTCCAACATCTATTCAAATAGAAAGATATTAATTTGCAACAGCGGAGATGGTTAGAGTTGCTTAAGGACTATAATATCACTATTCTGTATCATCTCAGGAGGGCCAATGTGGTGGCCGACGACTTGAGTCGAAAGGCGGAGAGCTTGGGAGGTTTAGCATATCTAGTGGTAGCAGAGAGGCCACTAGCCATGGATTTCCAGGCCTTGGCCAACCAATATATTAGATTGGATGTTTCGGAGCCCAGTCGAGTTCTTGCTTGTGTAGTTTCCCGATCTTCTTTATTTGATCGCATTAGAGAGTGTCAGTATGACAATCACCATTTGCTTGACCTTAAGGACACGGTACAGCACGGTGATGCCAAGGCGGTTTCCACTGGAGATGACGGGGTGCTGCGGATGCCGGGCCGATTATGTGTGCCCAATATGGATGGCTTGTGTGAGATGATCCTTAAGGAGGCCCAAAGTTTGTGGTACTCCATTCATCCGAGTGCCGTTAAAATGTATCAGGATTTGAGGCAGCACTATTGGTTGAGGAGAATGAAGAAAGACATAGTTAAGTATGTAGCTCGGGGCTTAAATTGTCAGCACATGAAGTTTGAGCATAGAGGGCGGGAGGTTTGCTTTAGAGACTTGATTCCATAGTGGAAATGGGTGCGTGTTACTATGGACTTCGTTCTTGGGCTCTCTTGGATTTAGAAGAAATTTTATGTTGTATGGGTGGTTGTGGATAGGTTGACCACGTCGTCTCATTTCATTCTGGTAGTGACTACCTATTCTTCAGAACAGCTGGCTCTGATCTATATCCGCGAGATTGTCCGACTTTATGGCGTGCTGGAAACCATCATCTCTAATGGGGGCAAGCAGTTTACATCATGTTTCTGGAGCTGTGTAACGTGAGTTAGGCACACGGGTTGAGTTGAGCATATCATTTCACCCTCAGACGTAATGGAAATCCAAGCGCACCATTTAGATATTGGAGGATATGCTTTGTGCGTCTGTTTTTGATTTCGGGGATTCTTGGGATCAGTTCTTGCCGCTTGCGGAGTTTTCCTACAATAGCAACTACTAATCGAGTATTCATATGGCTTCTTATGATGCTCTATATGGGAGACGGTGTCGTTCTTCGGTTGGTTGGTTTGAGTTGGGAGAGGCTAAGTTATTTGGCACAGATTTGGTTCGAGATGCCTTGGAGAAGGTAAAGTTGATTCAGGATTGGCTTCGTACAGCCTAGTCTCGGCAGAAGAGTTATGCGAATCAGAATGTTCGTGATGTTGCCTTCATGGTTGGAGAGGGAGTTTTTTCTCCGAGTTTCACCCATGAAGTGTGTGATAAGACCTAGGTATATTGACCCTTTTGAGATCTTGGAGAGGATGCTGAGGTGGCCTACAAGCTTGAATTGCCACCTAGTTTATCTGCAGTTCATCCGGTGTTTCACGTTTCTATGCTCCGGAAGTATTATGGTGATTTGTCTCTTGTTTTAGACTTCAGCACAGTCCAATTGGACAAGGACTTGACGTATATTGAGGAGTTGGTGGCTATCTTGGACAGACAGGTCCGAAAGTTGATAACAAATAACATTGCTTCAGTGAAGGTTCAATGGAGGGTTCATTGGTGGAGGAGGCGACCTGGGAGACTGAGAACGACATGCGGAGTCGTTATCCTCCTTTTTTCACCACTTCAGGTATGTCTTTGTGCATGTTCGAGGATGAACGTTTGTTTTAAGAGGGTAGAATGTAACGAACAGACCTGTCATTTTGTGTAATTGCGTCTCGTTTCCCTTTTTAATGCTTCACACATGTGCTTTTATGATTTTATGAGTTACGGGGTTGATAAGTTACGTTTCGGGAAGATTTAGGGTTGGTTTGGACCCTATGATTCTCGGCATAGAAGCCTAAATTAGAAATGTTGACCAAACTTTGACTTTTGTGAAAATGACCCCTGAACAGTATTTTGATGGCTCTGATAGATTTGTATAGTGATTTTGGACTTGGGCGTATGTCCGGAATCGAATTCGGAAGTACGTAGGTTGATTTGTGTTGTTTAACCGAAATTTGGCAATTTGAAGTTTAAAAGTTTGACCGTAGGTTGACTTTTAGAAATTGAGCTCGGAATTTGATATTGGTACTTGGAATAGGTCCATTACGCTATTTAGAACATGTCTGCGAAATTTGGTATTATTTGGAGTTGAATTGGTAGGGTTCAGACGTTTAGTTGCAATTCTAGTAGTTCTTGAATTTTACTTCGAAATTTATGCATTTTAGTAATTGATTTGTAGTTCTAGATGTTATATTTGTGTTTTGATCGCGTGAGCGAGTTCGCATGATGTTTTTAGACTTGTGTGGATGTTTGGTTTGGAGCCCCGGGGGACTCGGATGAGTTTCGGACATGTTTCAGAATGAATTGAATTGAAAATGAATTGCTGGTGTTGCTGGTGCTCAGGGGGGTCTGAGGGCTGGTTCGCAATTGCGAGCAATTTGTCACATTTGTGATAGTGGCCAGCTTCACAATTGCGAAGCCATTACCGAAATTGCGACTTCTATTAGGGCTGTCAGGATTCGCAAATGTGATCCCTGATTCACAATTGCGAGGGTTTTCAAATGCGACATCTACAGCTGGTCATAAGGGCCGGGAGACGGGATTTTTCAACATATTATCTCATCTTAGAACCCTAGACTCCGATTTGGAGAGGGGATTTTTATCTACAAATATTGGTTAAGTGATTCTTATAAATTTCCAACTATATTTCAGCAATATATCTTAGATTTAACATCAAAATCATGTGAATCAAAGTGAAAATTTGTGAAACTTTATCAAGTTTTTGATAATTCAGAATTTGAGGTTTTAGAGTCGATTTGGACTCAGATTTTGAAACTAATCATATATATGAACTCGTGGGGTTATTAGTAGTCGGAATCTTTCCTTAGACCCGGGTTTTGATCAGAAAACCCCGGGTTGACTTTTGTTGACTTTTTGGGAAATGTGTACAGATCATAGCTTTATCAACTGTAATTTCTTTCCCTTGTATTCTTTGAAGATATTAATTCAATTTTGGTTAGATTTAAGCCGTGTGGAGGCGAATTTAAGGGGAAAAGCTATTTCCGTGTGTTGAGTTGACCTGGTTGAGCTAAGTATCTTGCCTAACTTTGTGTGGGGGAACTACCCTTGGGATTTGGAATTGATTGCGTCATTTGTGCTATGTGAAAGCTGTGTACGCAAGGTGACGAACGGGTACACGGGTTATATGTGGTATTTGACCGGTTTAGGATACTTAGACTTCATCCTTGCATTAATTGAATTGTCATATCATATTCTAATTCTCATAGTCAATCTACTCTTACTTGTGTTAGTCTATCCTTACATGTCTTGAATGACTTTTTTAACATTTGTTCTACATCTTACTTGAGATTTTGCTCTTATGCTTTAGTTGAACTTGCTGTCTCTTTCATTATTACATGTTATCTCTTCCATTGTTGATCTACCATTATTTGAAGTCATCATTACATGTTGTCTCTTCCATTGTTGATTTATCATTATGTGAAGTTATTGTTACATGTTATCTCTTTTATTGTTGATTATCATTATTTGAAGTCATTGTTACATGTTATCTCTTTCATTGTTGATTATCCTTATTTCAAAATCATCGTTATATGTTATCTCTTCCATTGTGTGTTATTCCTATTTAGCATCATGGTTAAACATTATCTTTCTCATTGTTGAGTTATTGGTGTTGAAGTTGTGAAAGTCGTTATCACATTGAGGCAAAGTGTTAATTGTTGAGATATCTTTCTTGTTGAGAGATTTACATTCATTGTTATTATTGATGTCTTATACACATTGTGGTTTAGCCATGGGCAATAGTTGTGGACTAATTGATATTTTTGATTATTGGCAAGTTGTGACATATGGGCACTTGTAGTGCGAGTTGTTATTATGATGTGATATCGATGCGCATGCGGCGGTATAAGGATAGGGGTTAATGTGCATGCGGAGGCATAAGGTGGGACTTATGTGTATAGACATGTAATTTTTGACTCTCCCCAAGAATTTACACATTTTAGCATTTAAATATTTAGTTTAGGTCTAATATTGCTATTTCAACTACTTTTGACTCTTTTACTTTATTTTATCACAAAAATAAAAATTACACAAAAAAATTCTTTTTTTTTAGGTAATTGATATTTTATCTTGTTACTTTTAGTTTATCGACCTTTCATAAAATTCAAAAATACAAAAAAAAGTTTTACTTTGTTTTCAGGAATATTAGTAGTTTGGTAGGAATATTATTTTAATTTTGCAATAATTTTAATCTAATTTCATTTTTATCTTTTAGTAAGATATTTGAAAAATACCAAAAATAGGTTTGTTTTAACGGTTAGTTTTATTTTAATAGTTATTTTACTTAAGTAGGATTAATTAGCAAATGGCGTAGTATTTTTAGTCTTGTTCAAGGAGAAAGAATAAAATTTGATCTCAAACAACCAATTTTCTAGGCCCAATTCGAACATAGCCCATAATTCCTAAATCCACCTTTGCCCTAATTTAAAAGACTCCTTCTTCTTAACCAAAACCCTAACCTAGGAGACTCCCATCAGCAACCCTAATCTCTCTAAACAACACTAGCCGTCACCCCCACTCCGCCGAGACTCGCCGGAATCCTCCATAACCACCAAATCAACCACCTCACTTCATCTTCTTCGTCATCTCGAGCACACCCAAAACTAGAACCCTTCAACAGCCTTCACCAACCAGAACTCGATCCCAACTCCGTTCCGCCGCTGCTATCTCTGCCAGACCTCCTCCTCACGCCGCGGCACGCACACCACTCGAACCCTAATTCCTCTCCAACATACACAAAAGACCACCGCTGCTTTCCTCTAGCGAACTCCTCAAAAACAACTAAACACCCAGCGACCCATCTCCTTAACTCCAACCAGCTGCACCGTCTTCTTCACTTCACAGCCGGCGAGACCACCTTCAATTCCACGTCACAGCCAGCTTTAAGGGTCTGAAAAATCTAGGCTTACGCATTGCACGATAACGTCAAGCAGTTGTAGATGGACTGATAGACAATGAGCATGAATTGAGGATAGAGGGGTCGTGAACAGTGATTAAAGTGTGGGTTTGAATTCTTGTTTGGTTGTCGGTGCCAATTCGAGTTTTCATCCACGGTTCGTTGCATTTTCGAGTTCAAAACAGTGAAACAATTAATTTCCATCTACATTGAGGTCCAGTTTTTCAATTCTCTGTTCAAATTATTTTCTTCTAAACTTATGTGTTGTTTGTGGAAATATTTGTTTGATCCATGTTAGTCATCTGTTGCTTGGTTAATTCTGCTCATATTAGTTTAGATTTGCGTGAACTATTTGCTGAACGAAATCTAACTAAAGGAATTTTAGTCAAATTAAGATTTAGGTGCAGATTAAGGCAAATGGTTACAGTGGATAAATGGCATTGGCAAATTTGGGCTTAACATGGTTTCATTACGTTGCTTTCGTATTTTAGTTACATTAATCGCTAGGAGTATGCTTAGGCCGTCATCACCTGGGTAGGCAAACTTTAGAATTTTTGTTAGTTTTGAGGCGAGAGGTCGTTCCTTTAGTTAAATTTATCCGAGGAATGCCCCGAATGATTTGTATATATTTTATTCCGGGGAATGCCCCGTAGTATTCTGTAATGGGAGGCCAAACGTAGAACATGTAGTGTTTTATTCTTGTTTTATTTTTCTTTATTAGGTGGGGACGACCTCGAGCCTCTTATGTGTTAATTTTTCCATTTCTATGTTTATTACCTCAATTCGATTATTTTAAAAGCCGACCAGATCAAGTATGCAACCGTACTAGTTGCGGGACTTGGGGAGTGCCTAACACCTTCTTCCCGAGTCAAATGAACCCCCTTACCTGAATCTCTGGTGTAGACTTAGTTTTGGAGTCCAAAGTGTTTTAAAAGAAAAATCATTCCAAAAAAAAAATGATGACCTGGCACACCGAAAACAATGTCAGGTGGCGACTCTAAAAGTCCTTTTGAACACAATTTAGTCACTTTCTAATTGAAAACCCTTTCGAGCTTTACAAATCTCTTTATTTATTTAAGAGGGGTTAGTGAGGTGAAAAAGGGGGTGTGACAATGTGTGTGTTGCTTGTAAGGAAATTACTTAAAGCCACGCAATGTCATAAGTTTGGCTAAAGTGCGTGTAGCTATTTCGGGAAAATATTTTCAAAACTATTTAAATATAAGGCTCACGCGGCGGTATAAGGAAAGATTGTAACTGAAATTGAGAAATGTGAATACGTGGCAGTACCTTGGTTGTGATTCTTGTTATATACAAGGCTCTACCTCGAGTGTGATTCTTGTTATATACGAGGCGGTAGCTCGATTGTGATTCTTTTTATATACGAGATGGTACTTCTATTTTATTCTTATTAGTGATTCATGTTGTATACGAGACTCAGTCGTGATCCTTGTTATGCATCTCATGTTGGGAAAGAGTTATTAGTGGAATACTTCGTGCTGTTTTATTCTTCTTGTCTCATCAATTTTCGCCCGTATTTGACTATTGAGGTTCTCCTTAAATTTCTCCCTTTATGGTATCTCTATGCTTGCTCACAATTCTTCCATTAGTCTATACTATTAACTTGTTTCGTATCATTTATTTCTCCGCCTGCCTTTAGTTCTCGTTATTATGTTTTCATTCTGCTATTCATATCCTAGTAGGTATCTTGACCTTGCCTCGTCACTACTCTACAGAGGATAGGCTTGATACTTACTAGGTACTGTTGCGGTGTACTCATACTAGGCTTCTGCATATCTTTTTGTGCAGATACAGGTACGTCTACATGTGCTGGACGTTAGTGTTTATTGTAGCTATCATCTGGAGACTTCAAGGTGTACCTGCTTGACGCCGTAGGCCTCGGAGTCACCTTCTGTTACCCTTATTATATTGTTGTTTCCTTTATTAGACGGTGGTAGGTGTTCTGGAACATTTCTGTAAAAGCTTATGACGCAGTCTCACCGGATTTTTGGAGCATTGTAGTTGTGTTTCAGTTATCGAGATGTTTATGAGAATTGTTAGTTATGCTATGCTTAAGCTTTTATTTCTGTCATAATCTATCATTGATAGGCTTACCTAGTCTTAGAGACTAGGTGCCATCACGATATCCTAAGGAGGGAAAATTCGAGTCGTGATATTAGCAATCAATTCAAGGCATATCATAGCTTAAGAACTACCCCGAGCATGGATAAATACCCCCGTTACTGAAACATGAGCTCGACCCCACACATATGCACCATCCATAGCACGTAGCTATCAGTAATAGCTCAAGCAACTAGTGCCTCAACCAAGTTTAGGTAAGATACCTCAATCAAGCAAAATCAATCCTCTATTAAGCCCTTCCCGCGTGAATCAACCTCTAGACGAACTGAATCAAACCAAAATCACTTAATATCATCAATAAAAGCCATAGGAAATGATTCCAAATGATAAAGCTTTGGTCTTTAACCAAAGTCATTAAGTCAACCACGGGCTTGTGCCTCGTAACGCGATCAAACATACAAATTCTGAATACCCATTCCCATAGGTGTCCAAATATATGTGTTTCATCCAAATCCGACCTCAAATCGACCATCAACTCATCAATTTATGCTTTAGAAAAGTTTTTACTACAATCCCCAGTTTCCTCACTTTAATTCATCCATTAAATGCTAAAATAGAGGTTGGAGTCATGAAAAATCAACAAACTCGAGTAAAAAATACTTACCCCAATCCAAATCGTAAGAATACCCTTCAAAAATACCCAGATTCGAGCTCCACAACTCAAAATATGTTAAAATGACTAATACAGTCAAAAAATAGAGTACTTATGGTCTGCCAAGGCATACCCTTCGCAACCGCGAAGCACATCCAAACACTACCTCCAAATAATCATACGCGATCGCGAGTCCAAGGACGCGAACGCGTAGCATAACACACTCCTAATCTTACGCGAACGCGGGAAAACTATTGCAATAGCAAAGGCTTACAACAAGACGCCCCAGCCGGCCTTCCTTCTACACGAACGCATCAACCCTAACGCGATCATGAAGGCCACTGTCTCCCAAAGCATCGGTAACACGGTCACAACTTCAGGAATGCGAAGATTAATCTGCCCCCCTCCCTCCCCCCCCCCCTCCCCGAGACACCTTCCAATTGTACCAACCAATCTTAAAACATAACAGAGACTTACTCGAGGTCTCAAATAACACCAAACAAGATCATAACCACGAATCACACCTCAATTCAAGCCAAGGAGCTAATCAAAATTTCCAAATTAAAAAGTTACGCCGAACAAGCCGAAACAACTCGGAATGACCTAAAATTTTGCATGCAAGTCCCAAATGACATAATGGACCTATTCCAACTCTCGGAACAAAAATCTGGACCCTATATCATCAAAGTGAACTCCCGATCAAACTTGTCAACCTTCCAAACCTTCAACTTTCCAACTTTTGCCAAAAAGGCACAAAATTAACTATGAACCTCCAAATCCACATCTGGACATACGCCTAAGTCCAAAATAACCATATAAAGCTATTGGAACTATCAAAACTTCATTTTGGTATTGTCTATACAAAAGTCGAACTCCGATCAACTCTTATAACTTAAGCTTCCAACCTTGGGATAAAGTGTCCCAATTTACTCTAAAACCTCCCCGAAACCAAACCAATCACCTTGGCAAGTAACGTAACCATAAACACACATATATAAAGTATAAGAAAGGAGAAATGAGGCTAAAATACTCAAAACGACCAGCCGGGTCATTACAAGGTTGGGTAATAAAAATCAGATCTTGCACCATATTTTGAGTGCCTACCAAATTTGAACACACCACTTGCTTCTCCAGCAAATCTCCAGCAAACAATGTCAGCACCTATAACAGGAGTAATAGCTGACATCAGGTGAACTGCAGGAGCAAGTAGCTCTACGTCTATCTTTTTTTTTGACAATGGTAACATAGTGGAAAACAAGCATCTTTATGGAAGAAATTAAGAGAACAAATGGATCTAATATTATGATTTCAAACTAGAGTTTGAACAAAATAATGATTATGTAACCAGTTCAAAACAAGACTAACGATGTAATAGACTAGTGCAAAAAGTGCAGTTCTAAAATAATTTGTAACAACTCGATAGGTCGATTTGAGTTCTAGCATTCCGGTTCGAGATTTGAGACCTTGAATAACTTCATTTGATGATTTATGATTATTGTGAATAGGTCGACTTGATTTCTGGAAGGTTTAGATGTATTTTTATAAAGAAATCTTAATTTTGAACTTTAAAGTTGTTGGAGTTGATCATGCTCAATATTCTTGGCAAACTACCTCAGATTGATGTTTTGCCGATTCCGATAGGTTTACATGATAATTTTGGACTTGTACATATGTCATGTGTGGGTCCCGAGTGACCAAAGGCTATTCCGACTCTTATTATTGAAAGTTAGAATTTGAACTTATGAACACTTGAAAATCTTTGAGTGTTAATTCTTGATTATTGATCGTACATGTTATTTTGATATTTTGAGCTTACGAGCGAGTTCATGTGAGGTTTATATACTCGTATAGATGTTTAGAATAGGGCTCAAGGGGATCGGGTGAGTTTCAGATTGATTTTGGGATGATTTTACTAAGTTTTCAGTTACTCGTGTTGCAGCCATTGTAATTACGATGAGCTGCTTGTAAATGCGGAGGTTCGAATTTGTGAAGTATGGGTAGGGGAGGCAGATTGTATTTGCGATGCTCACTATTGCAAAGCGAGTGTTGCATTTATTCTGTGGCTGAGATGCCCCTTTGCATTTGTGACCACTGGTTGGCATTTGCAATCTGCGCAATTGTGAACAAGAGTTTGCAATTGCAACATCTGCAGTTGCGATTAAAATAGGAGATTTCAGAATTGCTCACTTTATTCAAATTTTTGAGACCTAGACTACACTACGAGGCAATTTCGGAGAGAATTTTCTTCCCAGCTTCAGGGGTTAGTAACTTTAATTTAGTTTTTATACTGTTCGTTAATCCCCATATATTTTCATCCCTAGATCTATAATTTCATAGAGTAGAAATAGAGTCTTTGAGTAGAAACTTAGGATTTTGTAACTTAGAAATTTAGACCTCGATTTGAGGTTGGACCTCGAAATAAATCACATATTTGGACTTTGGGATGAATGGGTAATTGGAATTTGGTCTTGATTCGAATTTCGACCAAGTGAGCCTCGGTTGACTTTTTGTTTGACTTTTTTAAGTATGTTAAAGATCGTACCTTTTTAATATTATGGTAGATTCTAAAGCTTATTTTGACTTATTTCAGTATTAAGTGACTATATTCGAGTGGTTTAAAGACTTTTCCTAAAGGGAAGGAGGTATTAGAATGGTGACTTGTTCGAAAAAAGGTAAGTATCTTAGTTAACCTTGATTTTGAGGGAATTAGGTTATATTTGGGTCTATTTTGTACATGCTTAAATGTTTGGGTTGGCGTACATACAAAGTTAAGGGTGTTTATGTGGTTTTGTCATGGGTTAAGCATGCAGGTTAAATTAGCTTTATTTAAGTCATGTTGCTTTATGTATTATGTCTTTCATGCTCTAAAAAGATTGTGAAACTCCTTGTTCATGTTAATAGCTATATTGAGTTTGCTGAGATATTGGGCGTTAAGAGTCATAAAATATTGGCTTGGATATTGGTGCAAAAGTGATGGTTATCTCTCATGTGGTGTATTACATTTAATCACTCTTCTTGATGTTCTTTGTGTTCCCCCTTGCTTGGTACTATTTATATATTTATGCATGGTGAAGAAGTGAAATCGCACGAAGCGTATTTTCTTGCTTGTGAGGAAGAATGATTATGCACGAAGAATCTTTCTGTGCTTCTTGATTGTTTTTTATTATTACTAATGCACTAAAGGGTATTTCTGTGATTCGNTGAGTGTTATATAAATATTAACAAAGGGTGTTTCCGTGTTAGTGAGGATGAGAGATAAATGCATGAAGGTTATTGTCGTGCTATTTGACATGTTATCCTTTATTCCTTGCTTTTACTATGTGAATTGAGGACTTGGCTGTGTTGCTTCATGCTTGTCTTGTTATTCTCCCGGATTGGAATTGTTGTGAAAGATTTAGTTGTGTTATTTGATAAAATACGGTTATTATTTATTCGTTGCTTCTTTCACTATTCCTCCCACTTCTTCATCTTGTTATTTTACTTTCTATCTCACTTGTTATTTCACTTGTATCTTACTTTTTATCTCACTTGCTAGCTTACCTTTTAATTCCACTTGTTATCTTACTTGTTCTAGCTTTTGTTATTTCTCTAGTTATTTAACTACATAAGTTTATAGAGTATGTGCCTTGTCTTAGCCTCGTCACTACCTCGTCGGGATTAGGCTCGAAACTTACTAAGTATATGTGATCAGTTATACTCATGCTATACTTCTGTACTTTTTGTGCAGATTCTGGCATTGGCCCTATCGATATTCAGAGGTGAGCATAGCTTGGACTACAGGGAGACTCAAGGTAGAGATGCATTTGATTACTGCTATATTGTATCAAACAGTAAATTAAGCTCATGTACTCGGTGACACCAAATCTAGGTAGATTGTTTTGATGGTTGTTTGGCTTAGACTAGATATGTATTGTGGTGCTTGTTGCGCCCCATTTTCTCGTGAAAGCGCATTTCTACAAATGACAAATCTTTTAAAGAGGTATTAAAAGATAAGAGTCTTCACCTAACGTTTTAAGGTGTGTTAAGGAAGTTATTTGAAAATAACTCTGTTTTGACTAGCCAGCGTTGCCATATATCGGCTAAGGGATCAAATTACTTTGAAAAGAAGGTGTAAGGTACTCTTCAAGGTCCACAACTATCGTTCCATACCGAATTTTAAGCTATGTGAGAATATTAAGTTATTGATTATATTATCGTAAGTGAGCATATGAGTTTATTCATTACTAAGCTAAGTGAATAAGCGATTAAATAGGTTACTAATTATAAGTAGAACAAACGATATATATAGTTCAATTACCAATAATCAACTAATTTAGGATA